ATCGGCTAAAAGCAACAAGTTGGCAACCAGCAGACGGAGGAGTAGCGCTTTGCATCTCATCTTTTAAATATGGCCAAATGTGCGGCCAGTTGTCAGGCATGTTTATTGCGCCCACCTCCGTCCGCCCAGTGATCGATTGGCCTCTAATTTAAGCGGTCAAATGAGACAGGAGCCCGCGAAGCGCAACTCATTGGCTGAGTCTTTGGCCTTAATGTGTGGAGGAGCTCACAGTTTCCGGCGCAGAAGTGGCCAAGATGTGTGGAACGCTGGCGACGACGACCACGACTGACGCAATCAGCTGACGGAATCGCAGTTCTATAAATGGCAGCCAGCAATTGCGTCATTGGAAACAATTAACAAACAAAAAGTTGCCGGCCGATAATGACGAAGACGACGCCATTGACAGAGAGTTCGAGAGATGGAACCAATGGCAATTTGCGCCGGTCGCATACGACTGACTGCCACTGTATTCACTCTACACACGGGAGTAACACGAAGTGGCCACGACAAGATCGGGAAACTACACAGGAAAACCCTTTCCACAGTTTAAACCATCCTTTCAGATTTGACATAGCAAAAGCCAAATTGATTGTTTGAGCACTAAAACAGAAAGGGGAGGCGTAATAATATTCCAAACTGATTAGTCTATGAGGTTTTCAGAAGATTGTTTTGATAATCCTATTGCAATGAGTGCCAGCTGTTAACTTTACTAATTTTATTTCAGAACCAGAATCTAGTTACGAGTTAAGCCAATGCCCAAAGACATTTTCTAAGTGCACGAGCTTCGAAATGGATTTCCTGGTAGAGAAGGCGATCCTTCTGCTAGAGTATCTCTAATGCTGCAACTAAATGGTTTGCAATTATCACATTTGCAGTAGGTTGTCGTCCGTGTCCACTCGAAAGAGGAATACCCCCCCACATAAGCACCACACCTCCTGCTGTGCATGAGCAATGGCTAAACCCGTATTTTTATTGAGTTCCCGTCGCATTTTGATGGATTTACGCGGCAACATTGACACATTGACACTGCTTAGCATATTGGGGGAGCCATTAGGAGCGGACAACTCCCACCAGCAAGGCGGCTGGCGCTGACCTCGTGGAGAACTCCAACAACTGTATGGCATTTACCCATGCCATTACCCAGCTGCAGTTGAGGTTTTCTAATTTATTTTGTATGCATGGCCGTTAAGTGTAATTGGTCACTGAAAAGGATGATGAGGCTAACTGCAAGCCAAGTTCTTGGTGGGGGAAATGGCATGGAGCAGGGGCATCGGGAAAATTACCAGTATTTCCTGTGGCTCCAGCCCAAGATTGATGATAATCGTGCGTCGTGTGTGTCAAGTTAGTGGCATGGCTCAGGCCAAGTAATTCCACGAGATACCACGCGGGTGTATGTGGGGCCCGAATGCGCTGCGCTATCAACTGAAGAAGTCTTGTCATAAATGTGAAAGTCACAAATGGCACCTCCACCTCCACCTCTTTCACTTTACTCCATCCAGGACCAGCCCCTTCCAGCCCACCTGACAAATCGCTTGTTTAATTCCTCCCATTGAATGGGCCTTCCTTCCCGCGTTTCCCGCTGAGTGGCCAGAGACGCCTCCAGGCCTAACACTTCTTCGCGAGGAGGAGCCCCGAAAACGGTTTTCCAGTTTCCGATCCAGCCCAGATCCGATCCTCATCCGCGGATCCTCATCCGCCACCAGCAGCCAGAAACGTGACTGGAATCCCACACAGGGGCTGCCATAGTGACACAGGCGGCGGAGGAAGATTACCAGGGTGCGGGTGGGACGACGCCGAGTCAGACAATTGCATAATCTTGCCGTGGCCATGGTCATGGCAATTGCGATTGCAATTGCAGTTGCACTTGCAATCCCAGACGAAGCACACACACACATGCACACATTGGCCCTGGCAACAATTGTTGCAACATTGCCCCTGCCCCAAGGCTACACTGAGCGAAAAAATTAGATATCGCCAATTGGAAATAAAGGTATTCTCTTCTCAAACTGGAGTTATGCACTCAAGAAAGAAACTCATTCTCTTCTCTTCTACGTAAAAGGCCTAGAATTCCGCCCAGACTTTTCTGCCAGTGTAGGCCAGCTGAGTGGGGACAAAGTGCACTCGAGGCAGTGGCAGGAGGAGATGTCTTTCCCACCTTTCACGACTACTCTTCGTCGGCGGAAAAAGTGGAAAAGCCGGGGAGGCTGGCGATGACTTCAGCCACAAAACGATGCCATTTGCATGGCAATGATTTGGTTATTTTGGCCCAAACTTCGTTCTATTCGCCGGCGTTTGGAATCATCGGCTCGAGTTGACTTGGCGTGGCTTGTAAACGATTTTGCACGCTGCAATTGTCGGTAGTTGTTGCTTTTGCTTTTGCTGTTGCAGCAGTTGTTGTCTTATTGATTTGTGCATTCATTTGATTGTGCGCGCGCATTTGTTGCCAAATTGTTTGAAGGAGAGCCGAGAGCTGGGGCCAAAAACATTGTCGTGGCTGCTGATTGCGATAGGAGTCTATACGTATACAGCTTGCGATGGAATGGGATGGCCAGCCACTTGGCAGAGTGGTGCTGACTTGGCTGTCCTGTCTATCTGCCTTCGAGCCTTCGAGGCATGTTCGCCTGTTGATGACTCCCCGAATTGCTGCCGCTGCTCCGCCGTGATATTTCATGCTCCCCATACTCGATGCCAGTTTTCCAGGGAACTTCGCTACGGGTCATTTTCGGCTGTAATGTTATTTCTTTTAAATTTATTGTTAATGGAAATTTATGCTACGCTCAACGGTTGCGGCAACGACAAGCTGCTTACATGATTGGGCGGCGGGGCATGTGGCCCATGTGGCACGTTTTGCTGATTTGTCATGTTCGCAGGTTAAATGCTAATGCCTTCGCTCACTCAGTCTTCGATCCGGACTCCCACTTGGCTGGCACTCAATCTGATTTCAAGTGCTGCAATGCCCCCTAAAAACTGCTCCACGGCGATTCCTCCCGAATGTGGGTTAGGTCTTGGCTTTGTCTCGAAGCGGTTTAGGGTTCTCACGAGTTGGCTTGCCCCATAAAAACGGTGTCAAATAAATTGTAATCAGCGGCCAGCAATAAAAATTCAATAAAAGAAGTTGCGAAAAAGCCAGGCAAGGGCCAATATACTCTGAAATTCAATTATTCCGACTGCAGTCCAAAGTCTGCCGCATTGCCCACTAGCCAATTTTAAGAGGGTACAACTTTATTGGACATGACTTTGGCTCTAACCGTGGATCTTTCCACCTTTCCAGACTGGTCATCTTCTTGTGGAGTTCCCTCACTCCTTTCAAAGCTGAAGAGGGGCATTGCCCGCAGTTGGTAGCAACAATCTATACAAATTTTCAAATTGAGGAAACTGAACAAAGGCGTATTTTAATTTAGGAATATATATGAAATAACTAATATTTACGGAGCCACAGATTACTCGACTTGAAACATAGCAACCTGTTCGCCACTACTAAATTACTCCGTAGTTATCCCCATTCCCATTACCATTCCCAGTCACACTCTGCATCTTATCCCATCCGCTCGGAGGAATTGAATGGCTTGCTGCCATGTCTGTGTGTAATTTAGAGTCCATCAGACCATTTCAACGCCTCATCTCCGGCGTCCTTAATACTCAATTAATGCCCTTGCCGTGGTATTTGTTTTATTGGCGGCTTTCCTCCTGTCTTTCAGCCCATTCACGCTCTTTTTATTTTTTTGTATCCTCTAGAGACAGACAGACCTCGTTTCTTGGCGGAAGTCAAGCTGCCGTTTGTGGGCAGGCAGACTCTTATTTTAATTTCTTTGGGCGCCGCTTGCATTACGCCCACCTTGAGGCAGTTGCTCAGATTACACAGTCGCAGACTGCGGAGTAATGTAAGGCGTTTGCCCCAACGGAGGAGAAAGGGGCGAAGCGATTGGCTGACTGGGAGAACGAGGGCCGTTGCAGTTCCATTGCTCTTTTTAATTGCCTCGGCTAGCGCTGTTCCGCATTTAGTGCCCGGTCTCATTGTTTGGAGTGAAGATTTCACTCTCGCAATGGCTAATTAAGCCAAATTATCGCATGTCCGTGGCTCGTATTACCAATGGGATTCCGCCCAGAAATAGCGAATTTGCCGCGGCCATTACTATGAGATTAAGTAGTTAGAGTCAATTATTTAAATTAGTTTTGCCATCTACAAATGCCAATGCTGCAGCCCCACAGGCAGCTCCAAATCCTGCACAACAAATGGCTTCGTCGGCAAAGCATTTAAGCCGATAATTCCGTGGCATACTACACATGTTCGAAGGTAATAAGAATTTGATTGCCCGGCCCGGACTAAAATTATGCCAAAGCGAGAGCCACAGTCAAAGCCCACCACCAAACTAAACCAAAGCAGTGTGTGAGTGTGTCTGGGGCTAATGCCAAGTTTTTGCTTTCCGCCGGCCCCAGAAAGTAGCCCTGCGGGTTTATTAAGCCACCTCGATAATGGGCAACGCAGAGCGGTACACTCAGATAAATACGAACAAAAAGTGTGAACATAATCTACAGATTTTTCATTGCTCCTAAAGACTTAAAGACATACAGTCTTGTCATCATTATTATTACTAAGAGAGAAAGTTAGAACGGCAAATAATGATTTCATCATAACGTATGTTTAGACCAATTATAGAGAAAATTTGGTTAATTTGATTATTATTTTATCCACGTGTAGTAGTGCAGGAAAAACAAAAGACTTAAGCCACAAACTTGATCCTCACAGCATGGCAATTACGTTTGGCAATTGTTTTGTGTTTGCTAGCCGGGTCCATCTCGTCAACGTCCGACGACGACGATGATGATGATAGGGGGCGTGGTCCGGCTAGCCAGTCCAGTACCCAGATTCCAGTCCAGCTCCGATTACTGGACGACATGCTAGCCCACTTTTTAGAATATACTCTCATACACAGAATGTGGAATGTCGGCTGCATAGATATACATAAAGTAACCAATTCTGTTTCATATTCGTTTTTCAGGTTCCCACAAGGTGCACTGTTCGGAGGATCAGATGAGGGTAGACATCGGGCTACCGGATGCGGAATCGAAGGATCAGAGTGCTCCTCAGATCTATTTGGAGGGATTGAAGGGATATCCGGATGAGCGATGCCAGCCGCAAATCGATGGATCGCTAGCCGTTTTTCGGCTTTCCCTCAGTGACTTTTACGAGTGCGGAGTAACGAGGATGGTCAACCAGCTAACGGTAAGGAAACGCCACTCACTCCTGCTGAGACGCAATACCCTAGCTATGGTTCTTGGTCTTCGATTCCATTCCAGGGCAAAAAGGTGTATTACCATAAAATCATCATCGAGTCAGCCAGCAGCAAGGAGATTGTCAGCGTTAAGTGCATCACCACCGCCAGTCCCGCCTATAATGTGATGATGAATGCCACCACCGGGTCCAGTTCCACGTCCAGTGGCGGCGGCATCCACGGCCTGGTCAAGCGGGATGTGCTGCCGGCGGGATTCCAGGAACCCGAGTAAGTCCCTCGGCAGGCACGCTCCGGATTTGAGTGCGTCCTCTCTCCCCTACTTTTAATTGCCCATAAAAGCAAAATACATCTATGCACATTTTTATGGGCAATCTATGCAAAAGCTTATGGCATATTAAATGCCCAGTCCGGCCCAGGCTTAGACCCAACCGAGGGCCATAAATCAAAGCTATCCCACTCCCGTTCCTCCCACTCCTTTCCCGTTCCTTTCTCCCTTTCTCTCCATTCTTGGACTTTTCCAAGAGTTGCCATTACCAGGAGGTAATTAGCCGCCAAATCGACGCCGGCGGCTTCACATGCGTTAATACCCCACAGTCAATTTAATTGCGGGGCGTGTCGGGGTTCCTCTCCAAAGTCTTGGGTCTGCGGTTTTTGCCAGCACTTGCCTTCCGCCGATCCCCTGATTCCCTGATCCCCTGATCCCCAGATCGAATACAATGTTTGTTTTTCGTTGCCCGACATTGATTTACTACCTTATTGGCGGGGTCCTTCCCCGCCGCTCATTAAGACCTCGAATCGGGAACACACTGAATCGATTTGCTTGCAGGGATCTGGAGATCACCACGTCGCTGACCAAGCGGGCACCAGAGCCACGACTCTCAATTGGCGTCAGCCAGGATGGTCAGAAGTTCACCAGGGATTTGACAGTAAAGTCGGTGGGTAAAACTTGTGTTCTAATACCACCTAACTTAATCTTGATATCTTTAATCTTATATCTGATACCTTTCGCCATAACAGGGCACACCTTTGACAATGGAAATCAATCTGGATGAGGACTCTGCACCTGTTTATGGTCTGGGTGTGAACTACTTGGATGTGACGGACACGCATACCTCTTCGGAAACGCTGATCTTCAAGGGGTGTGTTGCACAAAACAATACACTGAACTGAATGCCTTCAATAATGTTCCTTTTGCCCATTTCAGCTGCACAGTGGATCCGTACCTCTTCGAGAACTTCAACACCATTGACGGCGACATTTTAAGCGCCAAGTTCAAGGCCTTCAAGTTCCCCGACTCGTCGTACGTGCAATTCCGTGCCACGGTCAACGTGTGTCTGGACAAGTGCCTCGGTACCCAGTGCTCCAACAACCAGGTGGGCTTCGGTCGGCGCAAGCGGGAGATCAGCTCGGCGAACAAGGTCTACGAGATCTCGTTGGCCATGTTCCTGCAGGTCCAGGATATCGAAGGTGTCAACAAGAGTGAGTAATGTGCTGATGTCTTTGGTTTCTGCTACTTACCTACACAAAACCCATATAATCATTGAATGCTTTCCATTGCCAGATGAGGTCCTGCAGCTGGAGGAGAAGCTCAGGGAGCTGAAGCTGGCCAACCAACGCCTGGCCAGGAATAGCCGCGGCAACTTTGCCATGGAGCAGACGCTCGCCAGTGCCCAGCCCGCCTTTGTGGTGGACGAGCGGGAGCTGGGACACCTCAGTTCCGGATCGGGAACGGGAGCCGCATCGAACGGCCTGTCGCTGACTCTGTGGACGATTCTGGGGGCACTGAGTTGGCGGCTGATGTAGAAGTTGTAAATCTCTTAAGGCGTGAACGACGTGCGAGTGCGAGGAATGCTAATCAGGGCGGAATTGCGTGCAGTGGCAATGAACGAAGGAGGGAATATTAATGTACTACCTAACTACTAAAATATACCTATACTTGATGTAACTGCCATTTACGGAACGTAATTAACTTTAAATGTATGCGTAGCGTAGGTTTTCAACGACTTATGGCAGCCGACATTGCGACATTGCGACAGAAACCGAAACAGAAACAGAAACAGACAGACAACAGTGATTCTTATAAAAATACACATAAAACACTTACATATAAATATATAAATATGCATATATATTGGAGAACTTGAAGAGCTCGGTCTAACTCATAAGCACCTACTAGTCTCCTAAGTGTAACTGTTAAGCTAATTTAATTAACGACTAAACTAAACGAATTAATTGATTAAACGAAACTCTGATCGATGCACCTTTGCCCTTTACGTTCAATTTATAGCATAAGCTGAAAAGTGTTGGAATGATCTGGTGGATATGTGTACTGTCCCACATCTGCATGCAGATCGTGCTTGCAAATCAAAGATTGGCAATGGAAGCTACTGAAGCGCAATTAAATAATGGTTCTTATATGAAAGGCTACATTATGGACTCGAAAAAGCCCTTGAAGCCGCAGTGCCGTTCAACGGGCTACCAAAAGGATTTTTCTTGGGTGCCTGTTAAGAACAGAAACCGTCTGGTTGAAGAACCCCGTCGCTTTCTAAAGGATCTGCGTAATGATATGTACAAAAAAGCGGATGCCGAGAAATGCCATCAGCCGGAAATGCGGAATGTTCAGGAATTTCTCGAGTGCCAAGTGCGCAGGCATATGCGACTGGAGTTGCACATTCCCAAGTATCCCAATGTTCCAACGTAGGCCCAAATATGCAACAAACAATGCAATTAAAAAGTAATATAAAATAATATAAATTAAAATTCAAAATGTGCGCCAATGTAATTGCGAGTCCCCCTATTGAGACTTCCTTTGTAACGCGCTAGTGCGTTATTTCGTGCCACACCGATAGTATCGGCCAGAGGGCCACACTTCCCCCATCTCTAAAACGCTGGCGTTTCACGAAATGGTTTACATTTTGAATTTAAGCAAATTACGGCCAAACACGTAACCAGTGGTGGTCAGTGGAAGCTGGAGCAGGCAGCCAGGCAATCGACCTCTGCACTCCAACCGGCGCACAAGCCCATCGAACTTCCAGCGTATCCGTTGAGCGTGTAACACATCCGCAATTCGATTTGCACACACAGATTCGATCCGATTCCAAATCCAAATCCAAATCAGAATCCGAATTGCCGAGAATCGGCGAAATCTGCCAGCTTGGCGGTCGCTGGAGTGTGACGTGTGACCAGCGACTGCTAGTCATACATATTCAGTAGATGCCGAGGTATCCAGCTGGGCCCGTGCCCGTGCCCGATGCTGGACACGCTTGTTGGACACGGCTGCTCGACACGGGTGCTCGGCTGTAGAGGAAGGGCAGCCGAGGGCTTCCAATCCCACCGAATCCGTATCCAAATCCGATCGCCAATGCCGCTGCAGCGGTAGGGACGCACCGCAGCAGACGCCCACCACCAGCACCAACGGCACCACCTAAGCCACATACACCCACCAATTCCCCCCCAAGAAGATGCGAACGCGCAAGGTGCTGTTGGTAATTGGGTTTCTGGTTACGTGGACCTATGCCACCTACTACCTGCTGTTGCGCCAGACGGGCATCCACACCAGCCGGCATCAGGCGCTGCAGGCCTACAGGCTCAACTCACAGGCCCGCGACGCCAGTCTGCAGAGCCACCATCTGGCCAAGAACGTGTTTGAGTTCGTCAAGCTAAAGTACTTGGCGAAGCAACCGCCGCCAGTGGCATCCACGCCGCAGATCAGCATCGTGGCCGCCGAAATCTCGGCGGAGCTGCCCGAACAGCATGTGGCCAAGGTGGCCCCGGCGCGCATTCCAACGAAAACATATCTGGCCAATGGCGAGCCCGTCTTTCCAGTCCTGGTCTTCGCCTGCAATCGGGTGTCGGTGAAGAAGTGCATCGACAACTTGGTTCAGTACAGGCCCAGCGTTGAGCAGTTCCCAATTATCGTGTCCCAGGTTGGTCTTCATTATAGTTGCCGCATTGAAATCCCTCTTATGCTAATGTTCTACGGCAGGACTGCGGCGACGAGCCCACCAAGGAGACAATTCTCTCGTATGGCAAGCAGGTCACACTCATCGAGCAGCCTGATCTCAGCGACATCACCGTGCTGCCGAAGGAGAAGAAGTTCAAGGGCTACTACAAGATAGCCAGACACTACGGATGGGCCTTGAACACCACCTTCGCCGTGGGCTTCGAGTTCGTCATAATCGTCGAGGACGATCTGAACGTGGCGCCCGACTTCTTCGAGTACTTCCTGGGCACGCACAAGCTGCTCAAGCAGGACCCCAGCCTGTGGTGCGTGTCCGCGTGGAATGACAACGGCAAGGCTGCTGTTGTGGACGCTGCACAGCCGGAGCTGCTCTACCGCACCGACTTCTTCCCCGGTCTCGGCTGGATGCTCACCAAAGAGCTGTGGGCCGAGCTCTCGGTCAAATGGCCCAAATCGTGAGTGGGGCAATTGTGCCGTTTGCCAGCCGATCGCTAATTGCCCATTAACTGTTCTAGCTTCTGGGATGATTGGATACGTCATCCCGCCCAGCGCAAAGATCGCGTGTGCATCAGGCCCGAAATATCGCGCACTCGCACGTTTGGAAAAATAGGCGTATCCAAGTAAGAGATAACCAGCACTGATTGGAAGGTGTCAGCTTATAATGATTTGTTTTTCCACAGCGGTTTGTTCTTCGATAAGTATCTGAAGCACATTAAACTGAGCGAGGACTTTGTGCAGTTTACTAAAATGAATATGAGCTACTTGCTGAAGGTAGGTAAACTAGTGCATTGTTGCCTCATCGCATTAACAACCCTTTCATGTTCAGGACAATTACGATAACACGTTTCTGCGGCGCGTTTATACGTATCCTATTGTTACGTACGACGAGCTGCGGCGAAACCTGATCAGGTGAGTTTATATAAAGAAGGTGCACTATGATTGCAATATAATTCCAATGATGTTACAGAATTGAGGGTCCAGTTCGCATTCAATACACTACAAGGGAGCAGTACAAGCGGACAACTAAGATGCTGGGGCTCATGGATGATTTCAAGGTAGATCAATTAATCTCTTGGCTAGAAACCGTGTTTAATACTGCATGATTCCTAATGCCAACAGAGTGGTGTTCCCCGGACAGCCTACCATGGCATCGTCTCCTTCTATTACAACAAACGCCGCGTGCACTTGGCACCCAACGCCAACTGGAAGGGCTACGAGCTCTCTTGGAGCTAACGACGCTAAGGACGGAATACCGCCAGCTCCACCTCCATTACCACGCAGCGAGCTCCGTGTGCTTGTAATACCAAAAAATAGCCCTATGAAGTTTAATCTTTATTTGACCAATTAGCTAAGTTGTAACTACGGAATCTCCCCGAACAGTAGACGCTGTTCACAGCCATCGCGTAGGCAGGAGTACTTGGAGATAGTCTTGAATCCCTGGCCTACGGACCTACTGTTGGCGTAACAAAATCAAATCAAATGAGTCTCCACTATGTATAGTAGTCAACCGAACTGTGTGTGGCACGAGCCAAAAGTGTTCCATTCTAGCACACAAGCCACACGAGCAACGCAATGAATTGTAAATAAGTCAGTGTCGTTCGCTTTTGTTACAGCTTTTTTTCCCCCTCTCTCAATTGATCGTGTTAAATTGCAAATAGTTATAGCAATGGTTAAGTTATAGACGCAGCGTGTAATTTCTAGCAATTAAGTTGATCCAACTAGAGTTCTAACGGCAACAGACGTGTAATATTTGTGATTTTTGATTATTTAATTAACATTTATTAATTGTTGAGAGCCAGTCAGTGAATACCCCTTAATACCCGACCCACAATGTAACATAGAATAGCAATAACTAGCGCTAGTACTAGAACCAGAACAGAAACTAGACCAGCGCTGAGCCCCAAGGGGTACCCCAGTAATCCCGGCCAGGTCTGAAAGTGTGCCACTCTCAGCTAGTTGTAATGGAATCTACACAGACAGCCCAACCTACTCTACCCCCTATGACTACCCTTTGTATGAGCATATTTTTGTGTATGAAAGACGTACGGAACATAAATTCTAAAGATAACGAGTCGCTGTTTCACTCCGCAGCAGGTGGCTCCTCATCCTCGTCCAGATGCTCGCAGTCAATGTCGCTGCACTCGGACTCCGATTGCGTGGGCCTGCGGCTTCTTTGCGCTTGGCCCAAACCCTCGTGGCCATAGGATGTTGCTGCTCCAGCGGCTGGAGCTGTGCTGCGTTGCTGCAGAAAGTTGGCATTGGCATCCCCAAAGACGCGTTCCAGTTCGGCCAGCCCATTGGAGGTGCCGGTTTCCGTTTCCGGCGGCAGTGTCGCGTACTTCATCTGCAGATAGCTTTCGTTGGCGGGCAGTGACGCCGCGTAGTCCACATAGCCTGGCGAATACGGCTTGCAGCGAGGGATGTAGCTGGCTGAAGGCACACCGCCCGCCGGTGGCTTGGCCACGCCGAAGGGCAGGGCGAAGTTCAAGGGTTGTCCACGTGCCAGAATCGCGTTACGGGCACTTTCCATCACACTGGGACCCGGCAACGGCGGCATGCCGCCGCTCGTCGGATACGGACGCATGGGTGAGCCGGTAGCCACCGTGGCCGTTGCCGAGGCCATGGGAGCAGCGGAGCCACTGCCATTCAGCATGATGGACTGAATGGGCGTGGGACCCGAGGGCGTTTGGCTGAAGAGCCAGAGGCGATCGCCAACCACCATGGGCCTGGCCAATCCCCCGATGCCCAGCTGGGCGTAATAATGCGAGGCCAACGTCTCCACGTCCGAGGTGTACTTGCGCTTCCACTTGGTGCGGCGGTTCTGGAACCAGATCTTGATCTGCAATCAAAGTACAACAAAAGTTGGTTTCTTATTCAAGACGCAAGCAGAATGTATCCATTGGATACGATCGATTTAGGCTGCTATCAAACTCTTGCGGATGGATTGACAAACTTGTATCCTTAAGTGCAGCTTGCAATTGGTAGTTTTGTTACATTTTTAAGGGATTCCTCTGCTCACCTGCGTTTCTGTGAGCTGCAGCTGCTTGGCCAGGGCCGTGCGCTTGGCCACCGAAAGATACTTTCCCCTTTCGAACTCGGTTTCCAGCGCCTTGATTTGGGCCGCCGAGAAGGCGGTTCTCGGGCGCTTCTTGCGGTCATCCCCCAGACCTGCAATGGAATTAAGGTGTGAAATCGAAAGCCAGAATAGACATTTATTGCTACCGACAGCGGCCATTCCTGCGCACGCGGTGCCAACTATTTTCGCCTAATTGTAATTTGTCGATCCGTTGGCACGGTTGTGCATACACAGGATGCCCCATCGCACCGCAAACCCCCTGAGTCGCGAATACGACTGTTGCATTTCACTTAGCCAAGGCGTCTAATTGGCCATTTTGGCATACATTCTCTTGGCCGACCGCAAACAAATAGCCATATAAATTCCTTCTCTACGGGTGGAGGAATATCTCCTCTGAGATCGCCACCGCTCTTTGTCCGCTTGTGACACTTGCATCATTAGTCGACTGCGTTGGTGGCGGTGGCGGTGGACGAGGATGTGGATATGGCTATGGATGGCACATTCCCTGTCACCCAAAAGCTAATTTCTGATCATTTGTTTCTTGATCGCACGGATGACAGATGAGATCATTCAGCCATAAGCACTCATTCGTTCAGGTGGGAAACTCATTGCATATTTATAACATATTGCATATATCTTATAATGAACGGCGGTGCTAAGCTGGTTATGGGTCATTCTCCCGAGGTGTAAATGATGTCTTAGAGCAAATTGTCTAAATTTGGAATTTTTATATAGTACTGTCTTGTTTGAAACTTTTTACAATGCGTAAATAAAGAGAGCTTGTAAGTTATACTTGATAATTCTGCATTTAAAACCACTTAAGTCTGGTGATATGAATCTTTTAGTGTATCTTTTAGTGTATAGTTCTTCTATTGTTTTTAGATACCATATCCAATTCAAGAAAACTAGAACTCTCGTCAGTTTTCATTGCTTTTCCTCTGTTTAGCATATCGATCATACGCACCGTTTCCGTCATCTGAGGCCAAATCGATATCACTTTTGCCGTCGTCCATGTTATCCTCCAGGCAACTCGATGTGGCTGGACTGGACACCCGGGAAAGACCAACACAATGGCCACCGCGGCCACTTTCATCCTGCACCGAGTCCTCGAAGGAGGTGGAGCTACGCATTTCCGGCTTGGCCAGAATTTGTTCGATGGAAAAACTGTGTGGATACCGACGCACTGCCGATTGCGAATTCATGTTTCCACCGATTTGAGCGATCTATATTTCAAAGATACTTTCGCAATCAAGTCCTGGAGGCAACAGCGCGCGTCGAGATCTTACGGAAAACTAATTTCAATATTCCGAGCATCCTGCTCACTGGCCGATTTTTCAAGATGATCGCCTGGCGGGGCGGAGCCTAAAATCATCCGTCTCTCAACCGCTCACATTGTATGGCCAACCAGAAGGACAGAGTGGAACAGATACATCTTATCCGATTTTCACAGCAGACGGCACACAAGTTCGTTTATTTTTAAAACATGTGTGAAATGTTGGCGAGGAAGGCGTGGCTCACGTTCCTCGCCGTCTTCTTCGTTTTCGAAATTGTTCTTGTCGCCTTGCCCGTGATTAAAAGTCATAATTTTTGGCTAATTGTCTACAAGTAGCGCTATTTAATATTTCGATGGCTTGCTAAATATATTTAATACGTTTGCCAACATATTTTTCATTCACGTGATTAATGACTGGATTTGGTTTTAGTGCTTTGGTGTGCGGACACGTGTCCTCTTGTGGGATAATTCATTTAAACAATGCAGCATTTCAAGCATTTATGCAAATGTTCCCAGAATCCTCCTGGAATAAACCAATTTCTGGGATTATCAAGAAAATAAAAAACTAAACTTGTCAAACAGATTGTAGCTGAAAAATGGGTGTAATAAGTCATTTGTTTCCATTAGCCTGAGAAACTTTCTTAAAGTGTATTAGGTATAATATTTAAATTTGAAAAATACTTACTTTGAAAACCCCTTATCCATATACTCACTATATTAGTCAATATATTCAATGGAATTGCGAAATTGGTTTCCTTACAGATTTTTCATAGTATCCTTCACATTTGTGAGTTTAAAACTTATTTGTATGAATGCCAATCCCAAGCCCCCTGTAAAAGTTTCATTAATTCGAAATTATGAACACATAATTCAGATGCTCGGGGTATGGGAAATGTGGAAATGTGGAAAGGGGCACTGCGGATCCGAATGGAGGGGAGGATCTGAGAAATTAGCCGGCGGCCTGGCTGACACTAGTTTCCAATTGGCCAGCAGCCAACTCCACGTCATCTGCTGGGCTACAGGGTGTCGTTCCTGGACGCGGATGCCCCGTGATAACGTCTTCATTATTCAGGCGCGATTTGAACAAAATATCTGAAAACACGTTAATTAGTCGCCGAGATGCGAGAGCAATGGGGGAAAGGGCATCCATTTAGCCGGCCGAGAGCTGTCAGTTTGATTTAATTTAATGAGAATTCTGGCGGGGATTCGGATGCGGATTCGGGTTTGGATTCGGATGCGCATGCGGGGGGATCTAGATCTGCTTATGAGGCCGCATGCCCGAGTGTCGCGGGCACTCAAATCAAAATGACAACTTAATTTTCATAATTGCGCTTAATGAATATTCGACTATTGCTTGCCATATTTCAAATTCCACTGCCAGACAGAATGCAGACTTTGTTTCGACTTCGTCATTTTTAGGCATTTACCAATTTGTTGGCTACCTTACTTGCCAACTTCCCAGGGTATTTATGGAGTCTTACTTAAGGCATTTCCTTCAAACTGAACATTAGCATCATTAGGGAAATAAAAAAGGCAAATGATACAGTATTATATTCTACCTTTGGTAAGAAGGCTCTTTGGGTTAAGTTACTATATTGAGCTGCCCAAATGAATATAATCACATTTCTGGATATTCAATCTTTAGTAAAAAGGCTCTATATTATAAATTAAAGATATGTATAAGCGCTAGGATTCTCTGCATGACATATTTTGCATTCCTTAACCCCTTTGTACTGCAATTTCGAGTCAATTAAGGATCTTTTGGCCTTTGGTCGGCTATTGCATAAGACGCCAACCATAACCTTAGCCTAACCAGATCGCTTCGCTCGAGGATCGCATTTAACGTTAAATGGAGCGCAGTCGCGTCAGAATTTAATTAATAACCGAGCATGCATCTTCATTATAAATCATCACTTCTCGAGTGTTTGTCAGGCGCACGCAGCATAAATCACGGCCGGAGTTGCACTGCCAGTCGCGTGGAACAGTCCGTCCTCCGGCCGGAATCTCGATGTCTTTTTTGTGCCCTCTTTTTGTCATCGCGCCCCGCTAATGATGCATCAAGTCCTGCGGGGTGTTAGCTACATCTAACTGCGGCCTCGCTGGCCCATCGATCATCGGGCTGCTCTGGACTAACATCTGTATCTGTATCTGTATCTGTATCTCGATCGGCGATCGGTGACACTCCCACGCCATTGACTCTCGGATATTCCTGTGGTTTCGGATTACGCCAAAGGTGAAGTTGGGACTCCTTTTGCGGGCGAGCATTGAACTCCTTGGGAAATCGTATCCTGATTAATTCGTTGGGCTGTCTATTTGTTTGCCTCGAAGCTAATTTGTGTGAGCACCTATTAGAGCTAGTTGTAAAAATATGAAACCTTTTAACTGAAGGGCTTCGTTGAAAAGAGATTTCAAAGCCAATCTTAAAAAGCCATTCAATACAGGTGGCGTAAATACATATAATTTATGAATAAGGTGCCAATTGATATTTTAAGGCCTAAACTGTACAATTATAAAACGAAACACTAATTTACAACATTTTCGTGAGTATCTCTTAATGCGGAAATTAAATGCAGATTGCATTATCCTGCCAAAAGACCGCCATAAATATCAGTGATGAATTTCAGCCCCTCCGCCCATCTTATGCTGTTAATTTCATTCATAAAACTTGCTCGGGCAAGGCAGAAAAGCAGCCTACGCCTTATAAACTGACAGATATAAATAATAATTAAGAAAAAATGAGAGAGAATGAACTGCATATTATTAATTTAATGTGCGCTCGTCTCGAATTCGGAGTTTCGGGGATGGGAAGTGAGTGAGTTCCCAGTTCTGGGTGCACTTTTCTGAGAAACATGCTTGGGGAGGAGCTCGAGGAGTAAAAGGCGTCATTCCGTCATTCCGTGGTGTGTTTATGTTTCAGGCGAGCAGACAAGACTCATAAATTACGACCAATTATCAAATTAGATTTTTACAAAACATGCAGCTTAAATCATATAGGAGTGTTTCGCTTTTTACGACACTATCAACCAGATTCCGGTGCTCTTCTCGGATTTCCGTGCCTTTATAGTGTTTTATTTGTGCTTCGGTTTCTTTTTATTTTCGAATCAAATGCTGAATCAATTCGGATTCATGGGCTGCTGATGGCGGCAATTAAAGGAAAAGCAGTGCAATTGGAAAAATTAGCAGACAATGTGAGCCCTGACAACCACGGGCAATTAATTTGGTGTAATTACTCAGGACTGAGTGACAGATCTGGAGACTGGCTGCATCTGTATCTTCTGCCTTTATTTGTATCTCGAGTGTGCGGAGTGCGCTGTGTTGCCACCTCAACGCATCGATGGGATTCTCCTCGATCTCCAACAATTGTGGCGGCATTTTAACGAGCCAAATGGGATGGCATCTCCCCTCGAGTGGCGGAAAATTGGCCCCATCCCCCAATGCGAAAGGGGTGCAGATACTCTAGTGACTCTACTAATTGACATCGGCAGTCTGGGCTGTGATATCAAACAGTTTTACGCACAAATTGAAACTGATAATTGTGGCGGCAGATTTATGGGCCCAACTCATGAGCATATGTTTTAATTAATTTCCAAGAAATTAATTTCGAGTAAATGCTTGCTAAAATCTAGGATCTATAGCTAGAGCTTCTACAGCCAGGTAAATGAAATGGTATATACATACGTGTATGAGATGGTATATATGTACAGGAGATATATTTGAGGTAATTATGACAAATGTCTAACCCGAACATGAGCCCTCCTAATGCCACATAATAACCCAAACAGTCTATATGGTGGGGATACCGATGCCCCTCCTTCCAGTTTCTGTGGCCACATCTGCATGCCATTTTTTGCTGTTGTCTTGTTTGGGGCTCGCGACATTTTCTCGAGACGCCGCCATCCGAGGGAGATTAATGCGGTGAGGAAAATCATAAATTAATTAGAAGCGGTCTAGTCCAGGCTGGAGTGGAATCACTATCGCTTGGTGATGCAGATGCGCATGCCTATTGCTGACATTTAGCGGCAATTTATTGTCATTAGGGCAGATGGAGATGGAGCTGGTGGGTCGAAATGAACTACAGGTGTTGGCACAGAATCGCTTAATTAGCTTTTATTATTAGCTACGATGTGGCAACTAAGTGGCCAAATGTGGGAGAAATATCGCAGTTGCAGCCCCAACTCCTACCAACTCCTACCACTTACTTCCTGTTTTTAAAGTTGGCGCCTAATGCCGACGTTTAGGGGCAATTAGCGACACGCCTTTTGGCGCCAGCCAGCATGGAATTCTGGATAGTTTTTTGGGGGAAATCTACATACTATGTATATGAGTGGATGTAATCCGAATGAGAGCCAGGATAAACTGGAGGGTCAGGTTCAGTGCATTCCACTCTGTCGTCAGTGTGTCGCGACTTCAGCATCCTGCCGACGGGATCCTGGAATGCAGAGCGGCTCCAAGGATCATGCAGCAAGTGGAGGAAGGTTTCTTCCAAGGAATTGCCTATTTAAATGGGAAATCACTAGAAATTATTTTAACTCCGAAAATCTGTTGAACGCAATCCCCGTAAAATAAATATAAATCAAAAAATAAAATAGGGCATCACAATATTTCCTGACACTGGTAAGATAGTAGTAATAAGTGTCAGCGGTGAATATGTGTAACTAAAACTTTAATATTAATATTTTAATGATTTTTGATTGAATATGAATAAAAAGTATAAAAATAAAATAAATAAAAATATTACTAAAAAACACGCTATGAAAACATAGATTTATATTAATGGCATATTTTCCAGTTTAATGAATTGGATTTAAGTATTTTATTCCGAAAGAAGCATTAGAAGTCTACAACGTTGTTTTGTAAACTCTACAACTTTTTCTCCACGTGAATTGTCTCCCAATGTTAGGGTGTCTGTCCCCGCTAACAGTTTAGCACAGCTTTCCACCGATGGCTAGCGCAATGTTTTACTTTAACAGCTTACGGTGCCCTTGGTCACACTGCTGTTATTGGGTGTAATCTATCTCAGCTGTTTTACCTTGACTTTGTTTACATTTTTCGAGTTTATTAACATTTAAACAAAGCTTAACCATAAATAAAATGGCCTCAGCGACCAGTTCAAGTGCCCGGCATTTATTCGACGACTCCAAGAAGCGATTGTGTGCCCGCGTGGGTGTGAATGTGAATAATTTGGGTAAGTTGCAATGTTGCTTTCTCAGTAAAATCGATATGAAGTCTATGTTTTGGATGATCAATAGGTTCTGTGGCCCGCCAAGTAGTCCGAGGTTCCAAGAGCAATGAGGTGAGCTGCAACTTGTATTTCTTGGATGAGGAAAACTAATAGACCAGTTCCACCCACAGATCATGCACCAAACCCTGAAGAACTTCACCCAAGTTGACGTGGTCTCGGATTATAGCCACCAGAATTTGCAGAAGATGACACTGATCCTGCAGCACGTGGGCTACCAGTACGATGTGATGCAGGATAGTGTCAACCACTTGGATTACCTCAAGGAGCAGGTGACGGCCATGGAAAGATGATTGGAAGAGCAAAAGCCTAGACACTAGCAGCCCCCTTGACCTCCGCCGTCAGTTTAGTTTGTCCCAAGCCATCTATCCATAAATATCTATAAATCCCGTAAGATAGGTCCCAGAAGGTCAGGGGCCACCAAAAAGAGTTGGGTCTGCCGATAAGATAAGCCGTGTGACTTGGAGTTCCCGTATAAAAGACCTGAACTACACTGATTTCCATCGCAGTTGGCAAGCAAAGAAAAAATGATGAGCTTGGATTTGAGACTGGCAGTTGCTCTATGTCTAATCTGGACGACGGCTGCCCAAAACTCCACGGACGGCGGACAGGACGGCCGCATTGTCGGCGGCTGGGAGACGCACATCACCTTCTTCCCGCACCAAGTATCCCTGCAGTTGGGCACCCGCCATGCATGCGGTGGGACCATCTTGTCACCCACCATCATCTTGACTGCTGCTCACTGTGTGCTGGAGTACAGCAAACCGCAATATTACGCGATTCGAGCCGGATCCAGCGATTGGACCAAGGGCGGCAGCTATATACGCGTCCAACGGATCATACCGCATCCCAAGTTCCATGAGCCCACGAGGATGAACAATGATATTGCCATTGTTCAGCTGCAGCAACCCCTTGTCTATAGCCAGGATATACGACCCATTAGCTTGGCCACCAATCAAGACGTCGTAATGCCGACTGCCCAGCTTTTTGTAAGCGGGTGGGGCAGTAAGTCCATCTCACAAATGCAGCCGGAAAATCGTCTTCGCTACACAGTTGTCCATCTAAGTGAACAGAATCAGTGTGCCAAAAACTATTTGGGAGCTGGCAGCGTAACCCACACCATGTTCTGTGCGGGAACTCAGATGGGAGGAAGAGATAGCTGCCAGGGAGACTCGGGAGGTCCACTTGTCACATATTTAGATGGCCAGCTGAAACTCTACGGCATTGTGTCCTGGGGATTCGGCTGCGCAAACGCCATGTTTCCTGGCATTTACACTAAAGTTTCCGCCTATGACGACTGGATATCGCAGACAATTGAGGAGCTGGTCTAGCCTAATCTGTAACTGTATTACTACATAGAAATAATAGTCAAAACCACTGCTACTTTTAAGTTATGACGTATCCCATATATACTAATAACAAATCTAATGTATAAGACTTTTCAACTCTGTAAATTAGCTTTATTAAACGCCCATAACTTGCTAATTCTCAAGTTCAGATGACTAACCAAAAACTCAAAATGTTACTTATCGAAAAATAATTAGTTAATTCAAATTTAATGTCAAATTACCTTGTTTATGAATGCAAAATGTAAAAACAAGTTTCGGATTCGTGGATTAGCCGATCGTAGTGGCATATAAAACGCGCATCTCGGCACTTCGAATACCAGTTTTTGGCTCTTACGAACTGCGAATACCGAAGTGTTGTCCAAGTCACCGCCAGTTACCAATCGCAACTTGAGTAGAGAGGCAACACAACCCAGCCATGAAGCAGTTTATAGTTTTGGTAAGTGTGCGACTACACAACATATTACTCAACTACAACTCTTCCTGCTTGCATGTCAAGGTCGTTTGCTTGTTGGGAGCCGCTAAGGCCGATGTGTCCCATCTGGTCACCCCGGAACCGAAGGTTCCAGCCAGTCCGTATGTGTTCAGCTACCAGGCTGGTCGAGCTCCCGGCCATGTGGACCGCCAGCATACTGAGGTGTCTGATGGATCGGGTGTCATTCGCGGCGCTTTCTCCTATGTGGACCCAAGGAACCAGGTGCGCACCGTGCAGTATGTGGCGGATGAGCACGGCTTCCATCCTCAGCTGAGCCACAAGCTGGAGGACAGTGCCGCCGTCCAGGCAGCCAAGCAAAGGCATTTCGCAGCCTACAATAGAATTGCGCAAGAGCATGCCAACCACACACCAGGCCAAGTTGTGAGTGTTCCGTGCACAGGTGTGGCCCCAAATCGTTTGTAATGGTGCATTGTCTTCCACACCTCTGTAGGCACTAGAAAATGCTCCGCATGCCAGCGCCGCCGTTGCACATGCCACCCAGAAGCATCTGAGCGCCTTCGAGCGGATCGCCGCCGAGCACGCGGCCATTGGACGCCAACAGGAGGCACAGCGTCTGGCACTGGCCGCCCAGTCCGAGCATGGAGAGATCGAGGATGGTCAGTACCATCCATAAGAGGTGCTGTGCTGAGCCAGTCTGCTGAATGATATGAAAATAAACGGCCAGTTTCCAGAAACATCAACAATATCAGTTTATCATGTGCTCCTCTAAAGTGAAAGGGGGAAATAGACAGTATGGAAAAATAAGTTAACAATTGTATAATATTTTTTGTTCTGCAACATCCGATTTTTATAAACTGCGTTTTGTTAAGTACACAAAAACACCATACGATCAGATGGCATTTTATAATTTTAATTAATTAACTTAATTACTTTTACTTTGTGTTAAAATGTTTTGCGATTCATTCAAGTTGATTAGTAGGCCATCATGAGAGTATAACGTGTTTAGTGTTTAGTTTCCTACGATAACTTCAACTAGTTTGATGTCTGGCCAGGTGTCTTTGAGCCTCCTACTTTGTGTAGCTTTTACGTTGAGATATCAGCTTGCAAGTATAAGTACTGCTCAGAAAATCTGTATACAACTCCCCCTTTCAGAGTAATTCCGAGTTTTACGATCCGTGCCCGCATACCAATGGAATAGACGAAGATGAGGCTGAAGCGGTTTTCAGGGACTGGCCCGCATATCTCAGTTTGAGCAGCGTAAATAGGACACACAAGTGCTATGTGATCTGCATTTTCCAGTATTACAACATTGTATCCACCTCTGGCGAAATAACTTTGGAGAAGTACTACGATTCCGGGGTTATTGATGAGTTTGCGGTGGCACCTAAAATAAATCGATGCCGATATGAGTTTAGAAAAGAAGAAGATTTTTGTGAGCGAATGTTCGCTGTATTCAATTGCTTAAGACAAGAACTATTAATGAGCTCATAAAAATTGCTATAAATCATAAGTTTGTGACTTTATTTTGGCTTACAAAATTAATGCATGTTAATAATTAACATACGGAATTTAAAGTGTGAAGTCCAGAATTGTCAAAAGAATCTATTGTCAAAAGAATCTATGAAACTACTATATATGCCATTGCCACACAGTGCTCTCTTTGTATTACATTTGCTGTATTGCTTATCAATAAGTCACTTATCAATTTAAATAGTGGTAATTTAAGTCGCTGTATGTGTATGCAATTACACATCTGATTATCCATTATATAGCAATTTAATTGCTTCAATTGGGTTTGTTATAAGTACTCGATTTGAGGGATTCTCTACGAATATAGCAAGTATGCTGGACCGACCAACACCGTATTTATTGCTACTCTTTCTGTGCGGCAAGGTTCTTGTAAGGCTTATGCTTTGAATGATGTATCTTAAGACATGTTTGAGCTTATTTCTTTGACCAGGCTAATACTGCAGTATTTAATCCGTGTGCTTCACAAGCTGCGCTATCGGAGACTGAAGCCCACAAAGTGATGGAGAGCTGGCCAGATCCCCCAATCGATCGGGCGCACAAGTGCTATCTAACGTGCGTCCTCTTGGATTTGGGACTGGTTGATCAAAACGGGGATGTGCAGATCGACAAGTACTTGAAATCCGGAGTTGTGGACTGGCGGTATGTGGCATTCGAGTTGATAAATTGCCGCATAGAATTCGGTGACGAGAGGGATCTGTGTGAGCTGTCGTATGGACTCTTCAACTGCTTCAGGGCGGTGAAGCTAGCGGCCGAATCGAATTCTTCACTTAGTAATGCAAAATAGCTACAATAAAATGAAAGATATTTCACTATTTTTATTTTGCATCGAGCAGTCGATGATGATTGATGATCTTACGACTGGTGCGAGTAAGAAAAGTTCCGATTACTGAAAGCTCAAAGTTGCTGGCTTGTTTGATAAGCGTTTGAAGGCAGGTCCGCTCATCGAGTTTAGTTCTGTTTGGAGGTCCGATACCGCAACACGTTCCATTCCGATTCGTGATGGCACCACTTCCGCTGCTCCTGCTTCTGCTCCTGGTGGTGGCGACTGGTTTTGGCCGCGCCTACGAGGCACCTGCGGCTCAGGTGCGCGTGTTCTATCCCAGGGGATTCGAGGTCTCCATTCCGGATGCGGAGGGTATTTCCCTGTTTGCCTTCCATGGCAAGCTGAACGAGGAGTTCGACGGCCTGGAGGCTGGGCGATGGGCAAGGGATATTCCGAAAGCCAAGCGGGGACGCTGGACGTTCCGAGATCGAGAGACACAGCTCAACCATGGCGATACCCTGTACTTCTGGACCTACGTGGTCTACAACGGGCTGGGCTATCGACAGGATGACGGAGCTCATGTGGTCAACAGTTACGACAATAAATAGGTTCACCCCTCGAACCATGAAATGTTTGGGGCCAAGCTTAAAGCTCTTCTGGAACCCTTGTTTATGAACTTTCTATTGTAATCTGATCATTTGGTTTTCAGCTAATCTTTTAGTTGACAAATAATGTATAATATAGAATTGCTGCATTCAGCAAATCACAATGTTGTATAAAATTAAACAAGTGTTGATAAGTTTATTAATCAACAACTTAAAGACAATATTTATCGCTTTAGCATGCAATTTATGATGAAGTAAAAAGGAATCAAGTCAATTGATATTAAAATCAAAGGAATGTAAATTCATATTTTATCCACTCAGCGCTTTCATTGTGGCTGTGACGTGTTTAATTATTTTCGTTAGTAAAAACACTTTTATCCAATGCAAATTTATGCACTTTTAAACGCTGTAATTAATCATAAATAAAATGCGAGGCCTTAATGGCCAAATGGAACGCTGGGCACAGCAATGCGATGGTCTGAAAATTGCGTAAAATGAAGCTCGCTCTCAAACCAACCGATATAATTTGCTTTATGCTCTGGCCGCAATTCACGTCCTGCTATACGTTGGTGCTCACAAAAATAGGTACAATCAGAATTAAATTTGAAATTGCAAATTAAGTTTTTCCAATGACATATATGGCCACAAATAAGATGTGCAGTCTAAGCAACTATTCTAATCGAAGGATTGATTTATTAAATGCCACTCTGGCGCCGCTTAAAGGTGTTAACTTACATATCCTTACAATTCTCGCTCACGGCGTATAAGATAATAGATTCCTAGTTTATGCTAGCTTCAGTATCACTTGGAGTGCTCCACTAATGTTTCAACAGCAGCTGTAAGTGCAACCGTACGTACTCGTACTTATAGCCACCCAAACACATACTTGCACTCACGCACGGCAGACATGGGGCCAAAAAGTTTCGAAGGATTCACAAGGCAAATTGATGAAGTTTTAGTTGCGGCAACTTCGCTACGTGATGTGTGCGTTACCAGACAGAGACGCACTGTCCACGGACCACGCCCTCGCGCTACGCCCCTTTTTTTGGGTCTATCCCCGTATTCCTACGGTGTCTCCCCGATGTCGTACGCTATGGCATACTATGGTATGGTATGGGGGTCTTTTGTGCCCGTTCGTTAACTTTTTCTAGATCCCGCTCGCCTCGTTGCGGTGGCTTTTTTGCAAGCAACAACAAAGCAATAGCAAATGCAATTACAACGCAACGAGCACACATTTTTTGCACTCACTGTGCGCCGAGTTGAGAGTTTGGAGCCACGCTAAATTGGTCTGGCAAATGCTTTTTGAACACCCCCGGCCACGCCCAGCGCCCCTTTTTTCTGCAACGCCGGCACCCGGTACCTTTATAATTTTCTGTCTTCCTCAACATTGCGTAGCAGCCGTTAAACGCTCTATTGGCGCCTTGTTCTTTGGCTTGCTGCTCTCCTTTTTGGTAGCTAAAAATGGCAAAAACAAAAAATCGAATTTCGAACTGGTGCTTTACGGTAGTACAAAGTTTTCAATAGACTTGTTTTCTCAATTCATCCTAATTGAAAGGTGTTCAAAGTGTACTTATTGAAAATAAATTAATATTATACGAATGAAGTTAATGGCAATTCGTGCAGTCAAGCTAACGATCCATTTAACAGTGTGATCGAAATTGAAAAAAAAAATTTTTGAAAATTTTATTCGCATTTTTTAAAGATGTTACTTCATCAAAATTGGAAAAAAAAAAATTGCAAATATTTCATATTTTCAAATTTGTATACCAATCGAATAGAAAGGTAATTGCGACTTCAACGAGGTACAACATTCAAGATTTGGACCATAAAATCGCTTGTTTTGGCCAAAAATACCGAAAAATCGGTGCTATGGCCATGACAGATATTCATAACTTGGCCAAAAACGTTCATAAACCTAAAAAAATGTGTTTTCTTAACAGCCAATGATCCAAGCTAACGAGCCATATCACAATCTGTACGAAATCCAAGAAATATTTTTTTGGCCATTTTTTGCATTTTTTATAAGGGACATCATCAAAATTGGCAAAAATTTGAAAAAAATTTAAATGTTCAAATTTTAATGCCAATTGACTAGGCGGGTGATTGCGAGTTTAACGAGGTATAACATTCTACATTTGGACCATAAAATCGCTTGTTTTGGCCAAAATTGTGTTTTTTTTGTTGAAAATCCGGATTTTTGAGCTTTAAGTCTCGGGATCAGAGAATATCTCACAAACTGAGCTTTAAGCCGACGCAGATCCTTTGGATAGATAGAATAATGATTGGATAAGCACTTGGATTACATTTCGGGTGTTGTTGAGGCTTAAAGGAAGTGATTTCAGCATCACAGGTACCCGGTTTGATGCGCAGTGGACCAAAATGTGTTGATACCTAATACCTAATAAATAGTTTAATCAATCCATCAGTTATGACTGCCATCGCCATTTGTTTTCGCATCGAAGGAGGTGGAAATGGGGAGCTTGAGATCCATTATCATCGCAAGGTGCTCCCAGGGAAGCCTGTTACACACGTTTCAACGCTTAATACCCCACACGTTTCGCGCTTTGGGGCGTGCTAAGCTGTCTGTCCGCTCCGCTGGCTGCCAATAGTCGCCGGCATGCATACGAGTATGCATGTATTTCTCGCAGTGTTTGCTGGGGCATGGCAGTGTCATAAATATTCTTTGCCGCTGCTTTATTTCTTGCCCCGACAAGGACAACGACAACGATGAGGACTACGAGAAAGCAGTTTATCAATAATGCAAAACATCCCAGCTGGGAAGGGGTTGTGGGTGAATCGGTGGCCACCTCCTGGTTCCCCACTCGCTTACCGCTCACTGGGCAAAAAAGCGAGCTTATTTCAAAATTAAAAAAAATTCTTTAAAATACAAACGGTTTTCCTTACGAGTTCGAATATGCAAATTGTATTTGATTGTAAACGGAAAAGAAGGAAGGAGTGTCAATCTGAGAGTAAAATACTGTTGCAATTGCTGTACGCTATTTTTAACGTTTATGATTTATCACTTTATTAGAGCTAATTTATATCGATATTATGTTGTCTGCTCGCGGACAATTTCTCATCCAGTGTAGTTGTTGGCACTGCGATTGCCCAGCGAAGCGGCATAAGCCGCTTGGGCAACATCCCTAAAGCTCCTCGGCCTTCGATGCCATTCCGATGCAGAGTAGTCCCCAGTGACAGCGGCAATAGAGAGCTGGAGGAGCTGGAGCAGCTGGAGGAGCAGTGGGAGCCAAACGGGACCGGTGAGGAGGAAGAGGCAAGGAGCTCGGAGCTGGCGGAGCTGGAGGAGCTGAAGGAGCTGGAGGAGCTGGAGGAGCTGCACTCGCTGCCATAGTGCATGTTTGTCGATTTGACTACGATTGCGGAAACGTATACAGTTCGTTGATCATTATCCGGTTCGTGATGCCCTCGTTTGCCTGCGACGTGATGCAGCTTTCCGTAGTTGAACTGGCCCTGTTGAAGTTATTACCCAGTCGGTTTGCTGCAATAGGGCATCGGGAGCTGGTTATTTGGCGAATATGCATCGACAACTAAAACACATTTCACCGGGACTCGCAGCGCGGCTGGTTTATGTTTTGCATTAGCGCAATGCCTCCTCCTCTTGGCGGCAGGCACTTTGTCAATTGGGGCAGTGGGGCATTAATTTCACTGGCTACTTATGGCGCATTAAATGGCAGCATTCAGATCTATGGGCTACTAATGGCCTGGGTGGTAATTGAATTTTTCAGTCCCCTTCATGCCATTTATGTTGCAATAGTAAAGTGCTTCCGAACTTCTACATATTTTCCATTTACGGAAAATTGAATGCAATTCGCTGCGCTCAAGCCTATTTATCTGTAAGATTTGGCTGATTATGCATTGATCGTTATTCATCAAGAAGCAAGCGAATTGTTTTTAGAGATCGCCCGATTACTTAAACCCTTACATACAGCCGACAATTACCGACAAATTGAAATTAGCTACTGCCCTGAAATTCGCCCACAGAGGCACTTCCTGTGCAGCATTTAGCATCGGTTCGAAATCAATATTCGCAACTCAAAACGGGTGAGCATTTCAAATCGCGATGACAGCTGACAGCGAGGCGAAGAAGCTGCTGCTCAAAATCAAATTAGAGCAAATGCGAAGTACTTGAAGGAAATGCGCTGCAAGCACAGGAAACCGGAAGAGGGAAGAACAAGAGCAGCGCCAGCAGAGGTGGGCGCAGGGAGGGGACTGGGGAGGGGTACCCACAGGGCGGAGGCAAAAGGTAAAATCAAATAACAAAACCTGATTCAATTGAAACTGAGGTAAGCTGCCGAGCGAACTGATTTATTGATTTTCAAGCAGCATTTTCAGCTTGGCTTTGCAAATTGAATAAAGTGAAATTTTAGGCGCCTCTATTTCTCTCCGCTCTCGATATTGTTCTATATGTATATGTATATGTATGTATATGTATATGTACGAGTATAGTTTGCTCCGGCTGTCACACACACTTGTAACTTGAGTGCTACAAATCGCATTTACTTGGCTTGTTCTGCTTTAATAAACATATTGGCTCACAGCTAATTTTAAAATGTGTAAAATGAGCGTTTGCATTTTCACATTTTTGATCGCTTTCATATGCATTTGGCGAGTTTTGGGCGCCTTAGGCGGCGCATCAAACATTTTATTTACAGCACATTTACGCATTTTGGACTTTCGAACGTGGCACTTTTTATGTTTTTCGTATTTTTGTCGTTTGTTGTTTGCGTTTGGCGTTGAGTAGCGGAAATAGTAAAAGTTTTCTAATGAGAAAAGTTTCCTCACAGACAAAGAGAGGAAGCGCCGGCGACAGAGACAGCCATATCTTGAGGGAGTGAGATGGCAGGCGCGCGAGTGGAAGAGAGAGGGAGACAATAAGTGCTGCAGGACAAACAGAGATGGAACGATATCCCTGTTCCTGCTGTATTTAATCAGACGCCTTGTCGCTGCTGTTTCTATCTCCTTCCCACACTCAAAAAATGTTTTACCTCATTTTTGAATTTAAAAAACTCTCAACTCTGGATCTGAAAACTATTTTATTTAAAAACATTGGCACTTAAACATGTAAGTTTTGAAATGCATAAGAAATTGTTCCAAGCACCTTATTAATTGTGGTTTATTCTGGTTAGCTGTTGAAAAATATGATTGAAACAAGCATTAAAGGTGATATATCTTGTATAATAGCGCAACACACCTGTTTTCTATGAGTGCACTCCTTTTTCTTCCTTCGAAGGATGTGCGAGTGCTCACATCAAAAACTAAACACGTCAAAGTAAGCAACGGAAATGAGAAAAAAGTGCGCTTATTTATTTTTGTACTTTCTTTTCAAGCAACTTCCCCCCGCCCCATTCATCACCTCCTGTTGACGTTTTTTAGCGTTGTCGCCTGCACTTCTGTTTGACTTGACGAAGGAGCGAGCGAGAGGGAGGCGGCGTGGGACAAGGACAGCGAGCTCCCAGCGGCGACATCAAAGCGCGTTATAATTCCGAATTATGCAAAGCTTAGCAAACGTGGACGCATTGTGGCGTTTACAAGCGGAAATAATGAAAAATAGCGCGAGACGCTTCATCATTTGTCGCCTTCGTGTGGGCGGCGAGGAGGGGCGTGGCCAAGCGGATGCGGCACCAGATTCTTGGATAACGTTGTAACGCCAACAATGCCGGAACACGGAGATTGCAGCTGTAAACCGAATTCGCTGTAACACCTTGACTGGTTGCAATCTAAAACTGCACTGAGAAAAACATGCAACAATGTCAGAGATAAATCTACTACACACACTGCTTTCAATTAAATCAAAGTTACTTAACTTAAAGATACTTAAAAGCGTTACTTATTATTTATTTTACATTATTATTATTACATTTTATTTTGCATAAGTATAACTTCTCTCAGTGAAATAGAATTATTTCATCATGTTATCACATAAGTTCCCCGCTCAAGCGGTACCTTTGTCTGCTTCGATATACATACATATGTGCATGATGCATCTTGGCCAATAATTATTCAATACGCTATAAACGTGTTTTTTCTATTGCGTGACATGTACGCCCACAACTTTACAAGATTCTGGATAGCGCTTTTAACAAGGCAATTAAGCTCAGCCCTCAGATTTACGGGGTATATAAAGAAGTCCAACTTGCAGCAAAAGCCAAACCATTTTAGTGAGCCGTAAGAACGTGACAGCTCGGAAATGAAGCTATTGTTTTTTGTTTTCCTATTTATTTGCTTGGTGGTACTGGTCCTCGTCGAAGCAAGTAATGGGTTCGCCACAAGCGGAGCAGAGGTAGGATTCGGTGGTTTAGTGACCTATCAACAGGCTTAATCGTCTCTCCTTGCAGGAACCAAAGTTCGACGGTTTGTTCAGGCGGGTGAGTACACAAAGAAGAGGTCAAACTGAAGGCCAGTGATTGCTAAGACTATTGGCCCCAAACCCAAACTAAAGGCGCCAGAACAGATGAAGGAACTAGATCCCAAGGAGGCAGTCCACTAGCGGCGCATTCACAATTTAGCCCTCCTTATGCAAAATTTCGCTAAATGCCTACTTCTAGGCACGGCGCCATGTCCCCGAAATCAAATCCGGCCTCCTGCATGGCCACGAACCGCCACCACCTCCGAAATTCCGAGTAAGAACTTAGTAAAATCGAGTAGTCTACATCAAAACTAGAGATTATGTAGATGAAAGTAGGGAATCTTGTGAATGTGCTTTTAACCACCCCGTGTATGATATTTCTAAAGTGATTTACAAAGTCATTGGTCTAAAACCCTTGGATATCTATCAATCTGGGCTTTCATGTGTAACTTGCAACATATTTTCAGTCCCTTCGTAATGCATTGGAGGGCAGCCTCGTGGCCACTGATGACAATCAGCCACCTTCGCAGGTCAGGGTAAGTACAGATCGCCAGTCCAACTAAGTGGAGCGATCTTTAACCCATGACTGTTCCTCATCCGACAGCAACGTCGTCAGGCTCCACCCGGAATGCCGCCACCACCGGATGGCCTTCCACCACCACCACAGTTTCTCCTCTAAAGTAACTGGAATGTAAAGCATAAAGTTGGGCGTTTGTGCATGTATTTGGAAACCACATCGAAGCTAATAAAAGTAGTTTAGAGCATTCCAAAAACTAGCACGCACACCCGTATTTCCTTAAGCCAATAACCATAAACCATAGGGTATCATTTACTGGGAATTCAACAGGCTAATCGCCTAGTGCAGCTGCTCTGGGTTGATGGGCCGTAATCCTGTGACAGGTAGAACAGAAAACCTGTTCTACCTGTGCCATCAATTCCTCCTATTTAAGGCGAGTCCAGGCTTTTCTGGAATCAGTTTACATTTGTCTACAGATCGTACAACACACTCACTTTGAGATGAAATTCGTGGCCATATTTCTGCTGTGCAGCCTGACCATTGCGATGGTTGTGGCATTTCCTGATAACGACGATCAAAGTGTTCTTGTGCCAGTTGATATGCAGCATGTTGCTCCATTGGCCGCAGCAGCAGATCCGCCGACATCGGCGGACCAAATCTCTAACAGCTTACGCGGGCCACGTCATCTGCTGAGCAAGCTGTTCCGCCCGAAGACCGTGGTGGTGCAGCCAGTGATTGTGGAGCAGGTGGCTCCAAGGCAGTACCCCGGGTATGCCCAGCCCTATCCGTACTACAACCAGGGCGGTCGCTACTGGTAGACCGTACTTTAAGCTAGTTGTAACTGAATTTAATAAAATTAGGACGCCTGGCCTTTAAGTCAAAGATTAATTTTGTTGTTATTTTTTTTGTGCCAAGGCAAATTCCTTAGAGCAAATCCCTTAAGTTGAAAACAGTCGCCGACTTGCTGGCCACTCCAACAACTCTGCCCGGGAAATCCCTAATGCCTAATTAGTGATGCCGGGCACGTAGGAGCGATTCCCGAAAAACTTAGTGAAGGTCGCGCCTCGGTGACGATGACAACAACTGCCACAAAGGACACAACGTTGCGGGCTTTTCAAATAATTTTATTCAAGCGATTGGTGGCTGGCACAAGAGTTCACAGGAAACTCAAAAATGGGCACTTTAAAAGTGCTTGTACTGAATTGTTCGCTACTTATGTTAATTCAGCGTGTACTACAACTATTTTCGACATAACACGAAATGCAAGCGTGCATAACTGGTTATATTTCCTGCTGGCATGTTTAAAAAGCTCGAAGTCTGAAGAAATGTTCACCGCTTTACTAGAACACTTTGAAATAACTACCAAATAATAATAAGAGACAGTTTTGCCTAAGTCGGATATATTTTGTAAGCAAATTGAAATAGAAAAGTTGTTCACGTATATTAAATAGAAGATAATGGCAGTTTGTGTCGCACTGCTAATAAAAGATATGTTTTTGGTTTTGAGCAATGTTTTAATTAAGCAATGCGCCCATGGGATCCCAGGCGGGCAGCTCCTTCCATTTGGGTATCCTGGCGGCATGTAAAACACCCGGTGGGACAAATTTCTCGTGGACCACCACCTCGAAGGCGTACTCCCTTAACCATTCGGCGTCCAATTTGTTACCCTGGCTCTTGGCCGACTTCTTCTTTAATGCCTCCGTATCCCTCAGGTCCCTATCCTGTTCAGTAAGACTCCCGCTGGATGAGGACTCGCCCACCGCAGAAGCATTAATGGTGCGAAACTGTACGGGCTGTTTCATGGAGTCCAATCCCACAGATGTGAGCAGCAGGGCTGCATCCCGTCGGGAATCCTTGTACTTGAGTCTCTCTGCTTTGGTGAGTGACCCACCCACATGGAAGCCGAATATCAGATCAAATTTATGGGATGTCAGACTGAATGCCGCGGACTTTGAACTGATTGCCCTACGAAGGTCGCAGGCCAACCAAACGGGTTTATCGCCCTCCAGAGAATCCACTATGATCTGCATGATGACGTCCATGGACTGGTTGTTATACCTATGCGGTTCTCCGCCCATCATATTCGAGCTGTGGCTGACCTGGTAGTTGCTCTGGTAGCTCGATGAGTTTCGCGGATCGTGACCCAGACAGACAAAGGCGTCCAGTTTGACCGTACACGCCACCATAACCTCGTAAAAATGTACCGATGTCAGGTCCTTCAGGCACTGGTAGCGCTTCTTGTGGTCGTAGAAGCACCAGGTGAAAACCTTGGGAGGCTCGCCCAGGCAGATGCATATTACGTTGAAGAGGTGCGGTATCATGGCTTGAATGAGATCTGGAAGATGGCAGCCGTCTCCATTGAAGGTGAACTGGGCATGCAGCATGCTAGCATATTCACGGAGCTGTAAGCGAGGCAAATATACATAATGTTCAGTACAAACCACTGTACCCACCTTACTCTTGAGTATGAGGTTCATTCTCTGAGTTCGCTGAGTGGAGAGGTAACACTTCTTGGGCATAACGCCGTATTTCCTGACCAGATTGACGAACATCTGCCAGTTGCCGCCGTCTGGAACTGCGTTCTTCATGAAATTCCGAAAGCAGCGCCCATCCAGCGGCTCGCAGCGCATCAGAAGATCGGCCACCGTCCACAGGAAGTAGTTGCAGCGCTCCAACTTGTGCCAGAAAAACAGATGTGCAGCGGAGAGTTCAAAGTCCAGTGGCAGCGGCAGCTTCCTGTCCATCTCCTGCCGCAGCAGGTCCAGGCCCGTGCAAATCCATCCAGGACCTCCGGTGGTGGCCTTGCCCTGTGGTCCGATCTCTTGCCAGGCTTTCACCCCCGACGGTTCGGAGCCCAAGTCCGCCTCCGATCGCAGACACACGGCGATGGGATCCCGGGCGGTGCACACATTCTGGGCCAGACGATTCAGCGAAGACTCGTAGAAGGCGGCGCACCAGGCGGACCACTGTGGTTCGGTCAGCGAAAAGCTCATTTTCGTATCTTGACGAGCGATCTTGTTCCGAATATCGCCAGTGGTTGGCATTAGAAAACGCAGGAATAGACACTGTAAATTTAGACCTATCTTCTGGTCCGAATTCCTTCTGTCTCTTTATCGCAATGAGTTCAATAGAAAGTCAATGGTCAAACGATTTTGTTAGTATAACGAGCCTATTAGATGTATATCTGTCCACAAACATGTCAAGTTTTTCAAGGCGTGTGCGTGACATTTTATGTTCTAGAAAGTTAGATTTATTTGTATTTTTTGCACTTTAAGGCTCTAAACGGTTTCTGTGGTTGAATTTCAAATACGCATTTAAAATACACAATGCGGGGAAATTTCATTGCGCCAGCCGTAATTTAATTAAGAGCATTTTTCACAAATAGGTAAATGTATACATGACTGCAATTAGTCGATTTGCGGCGGACAAAAGATCAAGGCCATTAATTAAGAATTTATTAAGTTAGCTTGGGATAAACCAACAAAGTGTATGAGAGTTCGCTGGGTCGTATTTACCAAGGTTCGTTTGGGAAATTCCCTCATTTAAATACCAAGAACTGTTCATAAACACCGCCGCAAGCAAGGTAATTGTATTCAAATTGCCACACGCCCTTAGAAACCATCTGGATTTGGCAGCCCCAAGCTGTCGATGCGCTGAGTTTCCCGCTAATCAATCACATAACCGATGCGGAGCGGCATTTCCCGGTAATTGACCCACCCACCCACGCGTTTGTGGCCTCGGGTGGGTTAAATGGGAAGATTACGCGCAAAAACCCCTCATGTCTCAGGTCTCCTGCACTTGGATTACACTCTGAGCAGTAGCTTCTAGAACATCTTAGCTTGTAAGCACAGATTTGAATTAAAGGCAAGAGAATTGCTGCAAATGCGCTTTATTACGAGCGACTCGTGTAGGATTACTTGGACTCTAGTAGAAAATATGGCCCATGGAACCCTGAAGGTTTCTCTGAATGTCTTCCATGGTCTTCCGGATATTGTCCTGCACCTGCTGGTGGATACGTGCGGCATAGTTCTTTGCCTCCGCCTCTAATTTATCGCGATTGTCGAAGGATTCGCGATCGCCCACAAAAGTGCGTTCACCAATCTTGGCAATCACCGTGTGATCAGCCAGTTCGACGACTATATCGCCATTGGTGTACTCCACCTGGGCCGGTTGTCCGTTGATGGTGACAGTTTCCTTTTCGTTAACACCGGCTGCTTTTGGCTTGAATGTGTACACCTGTCCGTGATCATTCAGCTCCATGGCACCATTTATGACCCTTATAGTACGTCCATTACTGCTGACGTAACTTCCTTGACTCCAATCTCCAAAGGCGGAGCTATGTCCATTGTTCTGAAATACGCTGGATCCCGAGCCACCGTTGATGATAACGTTGTTAAAGTTTCCACTGTAGTCATAATCCCGCGGCATATCATAATCACTGTAGTCGGCGTCGGTGATGATCCTGCGCCCATCGGATCCAATCAAAACTGTTCTGCCATCGGGTCCCCGAATGATTTGCCCAGCTCCGTTTGACAGGAAGGTGTTCCCATTGCTTTGATGAATCGTCTGGTCTTCATTTCGCTGTATATTTGCAGCTATAAAAGTAAAACAATTAGTATTTTAATATCTTTACGCCATTTTGAGTTGAATCTCAACTGATCTCAACTGAAAAAAAAGTATCTCAATAAAAAAGTATCTATGTATATATACTTACCGCTAGCCAGAGAGGCGATGCCGGCCAGCACGCCCAGTAGAATCCAAGCTCCAGTGTTCGAGGGCATTTTGCAATGACTATGCCAATGCCAAGTGTAGAGCCAGCTATTTATACTACCCCATCAAATATCGGCTCATCGCGCCTAGTCGTTCTATATATTCTTTCAGATCGGTTCTCACTGACAGTACTCTCCCGCAATAACAGATAAGACGGAGGAGGTCAGCGGTGCAGTCTGCCGGGAATTGCCACCGACGAGTTTGTTTTGTTTACTTGCGGTTGGGCGACAGAGAGGCTTAGTCACCTCGTCACCGGCTTGCCAATTTACGCCCGATTTAGGCGGATCGAGAGAGTGAGAAGTGTGCCGGAGCGAGAAGTCGTTTTAGCCAGGCCAGAAGTACGCGTACTCGCCATCTAAGCTGAACATTTCGGCGCGGTGCTATTTGCATTGTACTGCAACAAATTATTATAAGGCACGTGCTGACTTTGTTATGACGTTCAGCCACAGAAAAATTGAAAAATTCCCATAAAACTTATCACCAAGCCGTATGGCTTATCATTTTTGTAGTTCTATTACACAAACTATTTTTAAAAAACTTTTTACATTGCTTTAGAACCTTTATAATGTAACTTTATATTCATATTATTTCGTTTTCACGTAACTTCTCCAAAATCGGAATAAAAATAAACTTCATATGAATATGTGTATTGCAAGGCTTTTAATCTCGTGCCCATTTTGGGCATATAGCAAAGTAAAGGTGTTTATTTATATGTCGTAGACACATAGTTATACAACTGAAATGACTATATTTAATTGAGTGTGACAATGAATGAAGTATTTGCATAAAAGTCGAGTACGGTTCGACAAAAAATTGTTTGCAAAGCAAAATAGTTGTAAAATTATTCATAGATTTACTGTAAAATGAAGCGTGACTTGGATGTGGTCACGCCCTACCACTTGGTTAAAATCAGTAACGCCACTTGTTGTTTTTCGAATGGATGACTATATTGTCGGTGGACTCTTCGCCGCCATTCCAGGCGGGTCCGCCATGGGGTCCAGAATTCGAGGAAGGTCCCCATTTCCATGGCACGCCATGAACTTCACAAATGACAAATGTGGGATTATAAAAATAGATACAGATATAGATATGGAAACACCACTCACCGCTGAGAAAGGCGAAGCACAGCCAGAGCAAGAGCACCCAGAGTTGTTGACAGAGGTACATGGTCAAGCCGAGGAGTTCCAATGATGGGGCATTATATGGACACACTTATTTTATACGGCTCCTATAGCCAAGTAGCGCTCTATCTCTTATTCGAATCGTATCTCTTGGATTGCTTCAGTCTCTCTCTCTCTCTGTCTCTCTTCCCCTCTCTTTGGCATTCTTCGTATCTTATTTGTCCATGTTTGGATACGTGGAGGGGTTCGATAATGGCTTAAGCTCTAGCGGCTTATGCATAATGCAATTTTCTGTTCTTTGCACTCTTTTAATTCTCATTGAAGCCATCGAGCCACCACTGTCAAATACACTCAAAGAAATTCACAGTGAAATACCGCAAGCTAGTAAGAAATGTAAGCTGGAAAACCTTATTTGTCCAAACCCTTTTTGCATAAAGCTGACATTAATCAAGTTCTGCAAATAATTAAGTCACTAAGTAGACATTTATTTGAGTGCAGACGCACAATAGTCGGGCAATTAAGAAGTTTCGCCATGTGGCTACGTTTCTAATTATTTTCAATTGAATTGCTTTGCTATACGTAAAACTTTTTCCATTGCTACTGCCATTAAACATATCGTGGAACTGCTCGGTCCCACCTCGTATCCCCGGCCATTGACATTATCCACTGTCCCCCGGCGTCGAGTGGGTTTACCGTGGATGAGTGGGTGTATATATGTACATCGCTATCTAAGCTGCAGTGCATCGGGAAAGTTAAGCTCTCGGCGAGCCAAGTTTCACAATAAAAATTAAACAGGTACTGCGTTGTTTGTTAATGACAAGCGTTTCGTTGTTGCTGCTTTTTGAGTGGCCATGGATTAGTTGGAAAAGTGGACTGTTGAAGGAGTCACTTTGTTAAAATAAAGCAATTGTAAAGCGGAAAATAAAATGTCATTGCAAAAAGTTCGTCCATCACTGGGAACAAGTAAGGTGGTCAGAAGAGCCAATTGTTTCAGTCCTGTCAAAATATATCGATCCTAATTATCAAATAATTACTACAAAATAGATAGAAGTTCATAAATACGCCTAAGCCTTTCGGGATTTTAAAGTAAGATACCTTTTCTTATCCGCATTTCCCAACCCGACGAGACTGTAATCGAATTCTGGCCCTCAAGTGCAGGTTAAGCAGCTTAATTTAACCTAAATGTGTTGCTCTGGCTTTTATTGCCACCTACGCCAGTTCTTTATTCAATTTATGTGCGCCTTACATTAGCCCAACTGCAAAACCGAGATCAGAAATGTACTCAAACGGCGGCAAGATAAACGACTTTGAGTCTGAAATACGGCTTGTACAAGTATGCTGGCCCATGGATGTCGGTTTCCATTTTGGGGATTCGCCGGGGGATTCCCCAACAATCTGCGCCTGGTCAAAGGCAAATGTGCGTCCGTTGTGGATGCTGTTGCTCTGCTGCTGCAGTGCGAATCGAATCGATTTGATTTTCCAATCAATTAAACTTTATATAAATTGCGTCTGCGATGCTAAATATAACAACAATTGCACAGCGTTAGCAGCGCCAGCAACAGCAAACATTTCCACAAAGCACAAATAGAAAATAGCACTAGAGGTATTTGTTCGCTCATTCTGTTAGTCGCCCCGTCTCTTTTTATCTTCCGTTCCCTCTCTTTCTAACCCTCTAGTTCGCTCTCTGTCGCCCCTCAATGTCTCTATCAACGGCTGACTGCACAATCACAAAAAAATGTGTTCACTGGGTGATCCCGACTGCACTGAAATTAATGATTTCCTGTATGTACAGAATATAATTGATTAAAAGTATTTAAAAATTAATTTAAGAGTATTTAAATTAAATAAATGTATATTGATGATATGCAGGGGAGGGAAAAGCTAATAGCTAAAGAAAGCTATTTATAATGATCCTGCCGTAAAGTGAAATTTAGTTTAGTCCTTGCAGATACTCACTCTAGAGATTTTAAAACTGAGGGGTGCAGTAAAATATCAGTTCGTATATATAGCTTCCAACATTTTTCGCAGTGTACATTTGTCAGTTTGGTGGGAGGAGAGTGCTAGCTATTGGGGGTGGGTGAGCCAGGTTAGAGGACACTGCATTTTGCACGACTTTGACTGCATTTTCGCATTTGGCAAATGTTTTGTGTGCGATTTTGAAATGCAGACGACGATGTTGGGCTGCTGCAGATGACTTGCGACGTGAGCCATTGTTAGAACGGTGTTAGATGAGCTAGGGGATAGGGGAGCTAAAGACACGGAAAGTCCATTTGATCAATCAGAAAGGGTAGCTATTCCCAGTTTAAAGTACTTGCACCAAGGCAGGTGGCCCTAACGAACACAATTAGCCTAATAAGTAAACAACAACTTGGGCCAAAGTGGGCCTCTGCGAAGCGACATTAATTCAATTATTGGCGAGCTTTATAGGCATTACCTGCAAGGGTGGAAGAGCATTCATTAATGCTAATTGAGCACACAGCCCACGAATATGTACTTATACACAGATATATTTGTTATGATCCAGGACAACAACACGAGTGTTTTCAACTGTACACCCATCAAATTACATTCTGAAGATGCAAATTTATTTACACGCTACCTAATTTGGTTGTTTGATGATAGAGTGTAGAGAGGAAGCTTTAAGGCAATCTGCTCAATCATTTTGAACCAATAAACTAATAAATTAGTTTCTAATTTGATGGAAGCTAGTAATAGTTTGCTGTTTATTGGAGATTTAGGCGGCTTAGATTAAGTAGTGAAGACGTAGCAGGCATTGAATTAATGAATTGATTGTATTGCAATATATTACTTTTTAATTTTGTATACGGTTTAATTGGGTCATAAAAACAGCACTCAAAACAACAGCACACAAAATGAGAATCACCTTAAGTATACAACAAATGTTATTTCCCATTTTAAGCTGGTATTTTGTTTGAATTTGGTTTCTCTTCGACAGAGATGTATGCAAAATGGGATTCTCGGTAACATCCGGATTGAACACATTTACCTTCCGCAGGTAAAACATCATCGACAACAGCCTGAAAAAGTTATGCAATTCTTCTCCATTTTGCTCAATTTTTTATTCCTTCCAGGACATTTTGCACTTGGACTAATTTCAAAGAGTCATATATCAGCTCCCCCAGACCCAACTCAAACTGAAAAACCCTCACGGAAAATTCCACTCTCTCCGCTTGTGAAAAGACACCTGTAGACTGGCAGCTCCCATTCCAGCTCCCCAATTCACCGCCCACTAACCCCTTTTGCACGGGAAAAACCTGACAAATGTGCGTCAAGTTACTGGCAACTTATTTTCCACGGCCACGCCCCGCGACCGCCCACAATTTGAACCGAAGTTGAGCAAAAATATTTAACTTGGTGGCAGCGGAATCTTTTATAATTAATTTGCCACTCTGCCGGCTTTTTTTTCCTACTCGCGGCTCCTCGTCCAGCACCGGAAAACCTTTTTCCAGAGTTGGGCGGCGGCTTCATATTTTACCCATTAGATGACGCCCGCATTTTCCTGAAATAGTTTCAACGCGAACACGTTCGCTGTCTTTAAGTTTCCTGATTGCGATTTATGGGGGTCGACGCCTGAAATGTAATACAAGTATACTCGCGAAGAACCACCAAATGGCTAAAGTCTTTGTGTAAGGTTTGTTTATGTAGACAACTATAGGTGAAAGGGTATTTCACAATGAGTTTTGGGTCACGAAACCAGCTTAAATGATTTTTGATTTTTCTAAAAATGCTCTACTCTTTAACAAACATCTTTGCAAGACATTTAAAGATGATTTTAAGGCGTCCGGGAGCAAAAGCTCAAGTAAAGCTTCAAAACTGATAAGTATTCTGTGAAGTCGTTTGCTGATTGATGGGTTATCTGAATCATTGCGCTGTTTGCTAAGCCCTGTTTGTATGGTTGGTTTATTTTTGTTTTTTCACTGACTGATCGTAGAAAAAGGCAGATCAGTCATCTGTTTCACCGCTTAACAATGAGGTCGTTTTTGCTTGTGATGATGCTGTTGCTTGAAACAAGTTGGGCACAACTTATTTACAGGAACTATAGCTCTGAATACCGAGAATGGCTTAGAGAACAACATAAACTGATAAATAGTGGAAAGGCAGGAGGTCCTTTCGAAAGTACTGGTCAACAAGGAGGATTAATTTCTGGAGTGGCTAATTATGGCAAGTACGGGCCCGCAACTGGAGGCCAACTTGCTACCAATCAAGAAGCAGGACTAGTTTCCGGCGGAAGCAGTGGAGGAACCTTTGGCCAAACTGGTAGCTCATTTACCAGCGGTGGACTTATTTCTGGTGCCAATAGCGGAGGTCCTTTTAACAGCAACCAAGGAACATTTGGCAGTAATACTGGAGGTCCAGTTGCCAACCGCAATCAACATGAAGGACTGATTTCTGGAGGAAACATTGGAGGCCCCATTGGGAGCAAAGAACTGACAAACAATCACACTGAAGGCGGTCTAATCGAAGGGGGTAAGACAGGTGGTCCTCTGGCCCAACATCAAGGAGGATTAGTTTCTGGAGGCATCAGACAAAATGAAAGTGGTTTTGGTCGGAGGCAGTAAGAAACCAGTGAAACAGAAGTAACTAAAATAAAATAAAATTAATAAGTCGCTCCAGTCATAACGTTTAATATAACGTCATCCACTTGTGTGTTATCAATAAAATTTCAATAATGCTTAAATGCCACAAGCATCAGCAGCTTAAGTACTACATTAAGTGCTCTCCACCTGGGTCTTTTAAAAAAGTATGTGTCACTTTGCAGCGGCATATAAAGTACATGTGTATATATATTTTCCCCCACTTGGCGCATTAAGTTGTCGTCACAAGTCATTTTAGCGCCTTCCATGTGAAAAACGTTGCCCGATGTAGGCGTGTATATGGGCGTTAAATAAAGCATGTCCGTGTGATGGGGTGCTGCGAATGGGTGGTGCAACGAATGGGGCATGTGCAACTGCAACTGCCACAATCTTGCCGCTAGCTGGCAGCTTGCGCCAAGCGAAATGAGAAAATGAGAGCAGAACTGCCCGCAAATGTTGCTGACAGCGTCACTTAGTTCGCTACCTACATGCCACACATAAATGCACACAAGTCCACCTGTATATATGGCCGCTATATGTACATATTTACATGCATATACTCGTACATACCGGTATGTGATTGCAAAAAAGTGGAATAGCTTTACGAGCACCTCGCCGCATAAATGCTTAATGCACTGCAAATGAGTTGTGACAAATGGCCTGGCCAGGCATAAAATGATATATTTACCATTCCATTTACGAGTATTTTGGCCAGCACCTAAGCACCCCACCTAAATGGCTATATTATATAATTTTCTAATTCCTAGGTATCTGTTAGCACTCAACTTTCTCGGCTGAAAGCGGTCAGCGAGCCAGGTCAAGCGCAAGGCAGGCTAGGCCAACACAAAACAGAGCGGACGAGGTAATGGTTATGTGGGATAAGAAAAATGGTTAACATCTTTAAAAATACTATACATGACTGGAAATACATATGTACATACTATACATACTCGAAATGACCCTGGTATATTTCAGTATTTTTCAATTTCTACATCATCATACATTAGAACAAGATAGAATGCAATAGTCGGGTTCCCCGACTGGCGAGTTACCCAAGTAACGGGTATAATAATTTAATAGTCCATGTGCACTATATATATTCATTTCGTTTTAGGGAAGAAGGATTGGTTCTCTGAAAGTAACTTCATAGAAGGAGAACTATGGATTTACTTCTGGCCAATTTCAGGGCGATTAAGCCACACCTATCTGGTACTTGGAAGTGAAAACCTTTCAGCACACGCAGAATCGAAAACTTCCAAATAACTAGAAGCTCAACTGGAACTGAGATGGCAAAAAGTTTTATCTGCTTGCTGTTAGCCTCGAGGGAAAGTTAAATGGTCCAAGTGCAACCTTTTGTGTAGTTGCTTATGGACGTGGGGGTGAAGTGGGTGGTGGTTCGGTTTCATACCTGGCCGAATCCGTGTAGCATTTTTTGCGGTATCCCCGGTTGCATCTCTTCGATATATAGGGACATTTTTTTGGGTGTCGCACCTTAAGCACGCTTGATGAACGGGCAGGGGAAGTTTTCAGTATGATTTATACGATCCGGATACTTACTTGCGTATCTGTGACAAAGTGTTTCCCTGATTTATAGCCCTAATGGGTAAAAACAAAACCATGCAATGCAATGGAAATACATTGTTGCTGCATAATTCTGCCAACAAAGCTGTTAATATGTCCCATATTTCAATCGAATTTTTCAATCACTTTATTCTACTTGGAATATAATAGATTCTTAAATGCAAAGCTGATACTTCTCTGTTTTGGTATAAGATATTGGGATTAAAGATTCATAGAATAAGCTCCGACTTCAAGTCTCAATAAAAATACTATTAAAAAAACTGGACCTGAAAGCCTGACTTTGTTGACTTTTCAGAATGCTAGTGACTGGGCTGAGTGATTAAAACAATAAACACTTTTATTCAAGCATAGTTCATTGTACATATATGTTGATCGTGTTATGGCCGTTGGCTACAATCGGCTGGTGACCACCGTTTGAGCCGTTCACGTCGATTTTCTGGGAATCCCCCTGCCCAACCACATGCCTCTGGTTGTAGTTGTGATAGTCGACTCCATTGAACCGCGCCGTCGTCCAGTAGTACAGAACATCTCCGGGCTGAAGTCGCTGGTTCCGGTTGCGGAATGTCCAGCGTCCGTTTCGGGAGCTCACTACATCGGCGGCCCAGGTCTGATCGGACAGATCGTCCATTTCCTCGTTGACCTTGCCGTGAAAGGCGAATAGCGAGATGCCCGGCTCGTCGGGAATGGAGACCTCGAAGCCCTTCGGTGAGTTGACCTTGACGGTGGCCTTGGGCACATCGTAGGATAGACTGCCGCCCATGAAAACTGCGACTAGGAGCAGATAGACTGCTAGCTTTGAGACTTGCGACATGGCGATAGCAACTGGATTTACCGCGAACTGAGGCTTCAACACGGCTTTTGTAGTCCACCATCTAAGGCTTATCTCGTCTGGCTGAGACTTGTTTTTGTTTTGGTTTTGTGAATTTCCCGACAGTGCATCCCCCACAGAACTAAAATTCTGACGCGTGCCTGAAAGTGAGCAATCAAAATATTTTCACAGCAACATTTATAAGCAACGAGACCTTTTGTTGGGCGAAGAGCTTTCAACTTTGTATAACCATGAAATTCGTTTTATTACTATACATTTTGAATTCGATGATATCCTTTTAAAACGAACTGGTCGCAGCTTGCAGTGAAAATAATGATAAATATTTGTAAATCAATTTCGTGGAAGACTTAATCTGACTTACAAGAACTGGAGTTGATAAAATACGTATTTTAAGAATTCAAGAAAATTCCGAATGCAACCACGCCCTTTCAAACCACTTTGTTATCCAACCCTGCAATCCGCGAATTCGGCCGCGTGCCCCAAAATATGCAATACAAATATTTGCATAGCAATATTTCTCAAGAATGGAGCGGGTTGATAAAGAAGTGCTTTAATCTACAACCTCGCCACATGTGTGCGGTTTTCTTTGGGCCAACGACTCCTTTGTGCGAGTACATAAATATATGCAGATGATCCGCCCGCCTTGTTGGCCACACAGCAATCCTGCGGCATTGTTGCCAGTCCTCTCTTACTTTCGGTTGCAAGTATGCAAGTACTTGCCGCTCACCTAAGCACAGGCTTGGCATCCTTCGTTGGCATTTGCGTTGCAGGCAAAGGCAGAGGAGGTCCTTCTGGTGGCAGATTCTTAGACAGTCAATTGCTGTCAGTGCCCCAAAGTCAGGACGCAATGTTAACCATGTTGGCTTTAGGCTAGAAATATGCTCCAGTGCTCAACGAACATTTACTAACTACGTTTGCGTTATTAGTCAAAGTTTGGTAACTAATTATTTCAGTAGTCCCAACGGTGGAGCTTATCATAATTGTCATAAGTTAGTTTTACCTCAATTTGGAAATAGTTTTGTGATTTTTATAAGTTTTTTCCAAGCGCCAATGGGAGCTTTCGAAATTTTGATGCAATTGGTTTCCCGGGAACGCACTTAAAGCGGCTTCTATCCTAGGACCGGCCAAACCAGATGGTAGTTAATTCCTAATTGCCCTGCGATATGTCAAACAAAGTGATTCAGCTAACCAACCCGGACAACTGCTCTCGCCGGACTGACAATTGTCCCAGAAACAACATTAAAACACAAAAGCGCAACATCAACTTCTGCGCACCGCCGCCCGGAAAGCATTGGCCAAAAAAATGTGGATGGTGATGAGAATGGGTTGGATTGAGTTGGGGATTGGAGGTTGGGGTTGGGGACTGGGAAAACAAGCAAAGTCAAACCACAGCAAACCGAAACTAAATAGCCGAACATTTATACAAGCAATCTATCCGGAGCTGGCCGCTCAATCTATTCATTCAGTCATTCGGGCGTCCACTCACTCGGTCATTCGTTCATTCATTCAGCTGTCCATGTCCATCGCAATGCGGGTCGGGTCGCGATGCCGGGGTCATCTATCCTCCAAATGTTTGCTGATGTTGCGCCCAAGCGGCTGGCGCTGATTTATAAGCTGCATGCCGCTGACCACTTGATTGCGTATCTGTATCTCGTCCTCGCTGTTCGTATGTGTGTGTAATTTATTTACGTTAACACGCGCTAGATGGCCGAAACCATGGCAAACAACCGAAAATACGAAATGCCGTAGAGGTAGAGGTAGAAGTAGCTGTTGGGGCAGCGGATGAAGAGCAATTTTCATTTATTTTAAATGGCATAGAAAATTGCAAACTGACATTTTTCTGGCCCAAGTGCTCAGCTTCGGTTTTGGCCCTTTTCCATCTTTACCATCGGTTTCCCAATGGCTTTGTGCACACAGCCGGAAATTTGTGTAGTTGTGTAGTACGAGCAGTTGGCAGTTAGATGCCGGCCAGGTCCCAGACTGATTACCATGAAATTACACTGTTTCGCACTTAAAACATGCCGGCCAGTGTAAATGTGGGCCAAAAGCGCACTCTCACACCCGTTTGGGGCTTAATTAAGTGGCCTGTTTTTATCTGTGGCAAACATTTCTTTACTGCACCATACCCAAAAACCATACGATGTCAATCCTGCCCCAAACGGCATTGAATTTAATTGCTTGCATTTATTGTTAATTGATTTTATTTTTAGCAGTTTAGCATGGAGTGCTTTTTCGGGCTGTCAGGTGCTTGGCTATTTATTCGGGCGTGATTTAATTTATTTGGTATTTGCCTAAATTGAATGAAAATTGATTTAAAACTTAATCAATTTTTTTGAAACTGTCAATGTTGCGTGCCAGAAGCCAACAGCAAAAACGTAAAAAGGGATTGTCGCTGCAGGAATTCCATTCATCAGTTCGGCATAATTTAATCAGCGGGTTGATACAATATTTTTCTGAATAATTTGGTGTACATTGCTGAGAGCATGTAATGCTTTTTCTGATGGATCAACTTGTCGCAAATGCCGAATTTAATATTCGTAAAAGTTGCCAATAAGCCTTTTTCATGCAGAGCACAAATGTGAATGTTGCTTCAAATGAATATTTCATATTTCACATTTGTACGTTTTCCAGAGGCCATTATAATTATTATCCCATGTTTGCTTTTGAAACTTTAGGGTACACCGAACTAATATTCGGATTGGTGGATGGATATGCTGATTACTAATGATGTTGATAGTTCTTCTTAACTTTTGCGGCTTAGTCACTTGAATTTTGCAGTTATAAGTGTTCATTACACCATTTTCCATTACTATTATTGGCTTTAAGTGCACTCAAAGCTAAAACATTATGTTTCTGAGGTTATCTCAATAGCTGTCCTATGTTGTCCTCATTGGTTGCCTTCGACACAGTCCTTGCTTATCCATCTCAATTTCCCATAATCAATTTTACTGAGCTCCTGCAAGAGCAAACACCTTAGCACTCCCTCGCTCATGCTCGTGTATATCTGGAGAGTAAGCAATAAGCCAAGCCAAGATCTATCCAAGCATACACCTGTCATAGCTCACACTTGCTCCCCATCGGATGCCCCATCCAATATATGTGTGCTCCCATTTCACGGACCACAAGCACTTCGCATGTAGCTCCAGCTTTACACATAAGTTCAGTTGCTCAAACACGGGGACAGTTTCCCTCAGACATCCGCTCCACCACGCCCCCAATTCCACTTGGCCCCCGTTTCCAAACACCACCCAAGGCTCCTTTTGCCATTGCGCACATATTTAAAGAGCAAACGTTTATCTAAGTTGTACCGTTGCGGTTTCCGTTGACATTCAAATGCGGAAGCACCTGTCGCCCAGCCGAGGAAACCCAGTGACTGCGACTCGAAGATGTTCCACTCAGGACAGCCGGGTGGGGCTGCCTACTTGGGGCGTGGGTCTGGCATCCACTTCCGATTTCACACGCACACGGGCGGGGGCTGAGTACTAGATATTACGAGGGTGGGTCGTCAAGTACTCGCTTTAATTACTCGTAAGTGCTGGCTCCGTTATACAACAAGTAAAAGGCTTGGGGTGAGGCAGTTACATTACGCAGATACATTAAGTGATGGACAAGGAACGTCGGAATTATTACTAATTCACCCTATTCACCTAGGGAATTATTCCTAAAATTAAGGTATTTCATCTGACAAAAGTATGTAAATTATGTATGAATTTTTCATAATAATGTAAATACATTTACATGCATGTAAAATGTCATGTATGTATGTAAATTATGACATCGAAAGGAAACAGAAATCCAGAGAAGTCGCTTTCCCAAATTCGATGTCTGAGGAAAAGCCCTATCCCCCCACGAATTTCCCTCAATCGAAACTCCTCGAGCCCACCTCGTTATTCTACGTAGCCGGATACATACTCTGCTGGGCATACACTAGTATTAGTTTCCCCATATCCCTCTGGCGTTCCTGGTTGCCAGCCCTTGAGGACTTTGCCACTTTGTAGTTGCTTTTGAATTCTCAAGTGTCGGCGTCGTTGGCGTCGTCAACTTTAAATGGTTTCGCTTACACCTCCAGCATGCCATTGAACAAATTAATTACTCGACAACTTTACAAGCGTTCCAGTGGCAGAGGCACCATTACCGCAAGTGGTGGAATGCCTCGTCTCATCCGCGGAATCGTCGCTTCCTTATGCTCAAGCGGCTGCTCATTAGAGTGCTGCATATTGTTAGAAAGTCGCCATCGCCATCAGTATCACCATCCCAACACCACCATCCTCACCATCCTCATCATCCCTAGCATCATCGCCATCCCCAGGATGTGGACGTGCAAAAAGGGTGCACACGCATTTTCGATTGCTGAGCTCATTAATAATGAGCTCTACTGCGATCCTGGCCATGAATTCGTGCGCTGTGTGAATTATGCCCCACGCCGGCCATTGGCCAACAAAGGAGCCAAAATGGGCATTATTACAGCGATGCCATGGTGCAGTCACGGATTTTCATCGCGAGTTGAATGACACCATCGGCCTATGGAGTGTTGAAAACTGTATACATTTAATACAAAGTATCTAAGGACTATCATTTATTTACAGTTCATGTTATTGTGTATTAGTTCTAGGTTAAAAAATATCCATAGGAAAGTTACAAATCGAGAGGGATCTTAGTTACTGATTTAATTGTGTATCGGATTCTATCGCGTTCTGGATCACGCTGTCAGCTCTGAAATTATTACAATGCCGCTGGCTAAATGGCCATACATTCTGTTTCTTGGCCGCTGCTATTTCAGTTCCCTGCTCCGATTTTGGCTGCACTCCCGTCGTTTCGCATAGCCGGAAATTGGAAAAGTGTTGCTTTATGCGCAGATAGAACGTGAATTCGGGAAACGGGAGGGGCATCTGTGGCTGGTACTTGGTGGGGAAGTCCTTTGGGTGCCTCATGCAAGTGCCAACCGGTGCAGGAGGTACTCCGGATTCCAGGCCATTGTTCTGGTCAAAAAAGAAGGGCTTGGCCAGGATACGAATGCAG